GATGTTGTCAAAATAAAATTTCTTTCTAGAATCCAAGGTCATCCTTTGTCTCTGCACCTCTGCACCAGTGGTGGGTTGCAAGCAGTATGCCCTGGTATGGGTGTACCAGAGCCTACCCGGAGCACCGGGTACCATTCTGGTACAGTGCTCCGGAGGGCCCACCTGCCCGCCCGAGCTCCGTACCTGTCCTTTAAGCCTTTGGCACTTCCATGCATGTGCATGGCAACTACGGTGCCTGCGTGATGCTCCGCTGAGCATCTGGAGCATTGCGGAGGCTTGTGGAGGTGTTGCAGGCAGGTATGACGCATTCATGCGCCATGTGCATCCATGTGAGTGACGCAGGCCCATTCCAACCGTACCAGTTGGAACTCGATCTGGAACCCATCACTGCTCTGTACCTGACTGGAACTGTAGGGGCAGGATCTTGAACTTTCAACTGGGTGGGGAAAAGCGGGAAGCTTTCAGATCCGGGTTGTCCCCAGATGTGCCAACATGACTCTCTTAATAAATTGAAACTTCGAGCAATACTTTGCCTTGGACTCTGATTTAACTTTGGATGTTATTTGGAACTCTGATACATACATACATACATACATACATACATACATACATACATACATACATACATGTAGTAGTCCATGGAAGAAAAAGATCAAGAATGGGATCATATTTTTCATTATTATTAATAGAAAATTGTGCTATAATGGATTATGATATTTTTAAAAATAACGGACACAGAATCCTCTTGGTATTACAGTATGTAATCTTATCTTCTAAAAGCAAGGATACTGTTTTCTCCTGGCATATAAGCATTCTTACAGTAAACCAATTTAAGATAATTGTTTCCTAGCACCTATTTGAAAATGCGTACAGAGGGAAATTTTCAAAATGTCCAATAGTTAAAGATCTTTAGGTAGCTTAAGATAAAACACATTAAATAAAAACATATATGGTAAAACCAAAATGAAATCTACAATAAAAAGACCATACAACTAGGCAGCAGGAAGGTGAGTCCTCCAGGACTGGGCAGCCTATAAATCTAATAAATTGAATTGAATTGAATTGATCATACAAAATATAAAACAATATGATTTAAAATACAAATAAAAACCCTAAGAAAATATATATTTGCCTTTTTGCTACAATAATGCTAATGTTAATGTTAAACATGTCTGGGGAAGTATTTCCATAAATAAAGTGCCACAGAAACATTTTCTCCATTATAAAATCAATGCCCTTCTCTAGAAGAAACATGCATAGGAATATATGAAACAAGGCATCCTGTCAAATAACCTGGTTCTAAGACATTTAGGTCTTTAAAGATCAAAAATCATTCCTTTGAACTGGGTGACTGTGTTTTCCTGAAAATAAGACCTCATCAGAAAATAAGCCTAGTCTGATTTTTAAAAATTTGCTCCTAATATAAGCCTTATCCCCATCCCACTTAAGATCATCATTAGCTGGGGAGTGGGGGATGGGTGGGCATGGGAGCACTGAAGTCGACGAGGGCGCAGGGGCTGATAGTGTCCAGTAACAGCTGCAGCCTGTGCAGTGCAGGTGAGTTGCTTACCTGTCCAAGCATCAGGTGGGTGCGGGGAGGCACATGATCTGAATGTACCATGTGGGCTACAGAAAAGCTAAGAGTTGGTGGGCTGGAGCAGGCAGGCAAGTGGCTGCAGGAGGCTCGTGTTTGCATGGCAGCATCGGCAGCAGAGGTAGAGGCATGAGAGGAAGGCAGGCCAAGGTGGCGCAGTGGTTAAATGCAGCACTGCAGGCTACTGCTAGATCAGCAGTTCAGCGGTTCAAATCTCACAGG